TCGTTGGATACTAATTATGAATATAATATGAAAAATTAATAAAAAATGGATTTCTTATCTTTATAATATTTCATTATCTTTGTATTATTAATTTACTTAATAGTAGTTAGTAACAAAAATCAACTGTTTTTTGTTTTGGTACAGAATGTGCTTACATAATAATCAGAAAATGTTTGATACAGAGTTGCAGCATCAAAGAATAATCTCTGATCTATGACTGCTCTAGTTTTTGGATCTTTTGGATACAATGAATCATTCTTGCTGTATTGATTAGCAAGGTAGGTCATTATTGCCCTACTTTCCCACAATGCAAATCCATTATCGACTAACGTGGGTATAGTATGCTGCGGATTTATCTAAAATTAAATTAAGTTAAAGATAATGAGTAAAAAGAATCATATTTGATAAAATTAAAAAAAAAAAAAATGAGGATAATTTTAGATAAGTTAAAAGATTACTTAAGTTAAACAATATTTAAAAGTCTAAACTACATTTGCTTGTTTGTACAGCTGTATGAAAATAATGTTATCATATTTTTCCGGATCCTTCCCAGAACGCAGCAGCGTCAGTTCATCATCTGCGCTATTTTTATAATCCCATACCACATATTATTATTATTTACATTTACATTACTATTATGGTCGACGCTTTTGTAAGCCGGAAAGTGGAAAGGGTCCGATAGATGCTACACATAATACATACTAAATATATACAGTATGTACAGTAATATGTACACATATATATATATTGTACGTATTACAAAAAAAAATGGTTCTTTGGTTTCCTTACTTTCAGAAATTCCGGTGTAAGATGCTCCCCCTTCATCAAATCTAAGTGTTTTAAATTTAAATCTACTCCAATTGCTTTTGCAGTTAGCAATACATTCCTGCATGGAGCACTTCCAGGTAAATAATACAAATCAATCGGCATTTTCCTGTATACACAAACAATTATTAATTATGTCGGCTTTAGTAAAAAAACTTACAATTTTTCTCTTTTGACGATGAGAAGAAGTACCACACGAGTTTGATCTAATACTGGCGTTAATTAATTTCGATCGCACTTCTATGCACTGATTTCCTTTCAAACGA